GTTTTTATTTCTTAGGGAACTGAGTTGTAACTAAAGTGGCAAGAAGGAAGTACTTCTTCACCCAAAGAGTGACTAACACATGGAATTCACTGCCACAGGAGGTGGCGGCTACAAGCATGGATGGCTTCAAGAGGGAAATGGATAAACATATGGAGCAGAGGTCCATAAGTGGCTATTAGCCACAAGGTATAGATAGGAACTCTCAGTCTGGGGCAGGTGATGCTCTGTATTGTTGGTGCTTGGGGGGGACAGTGCTTTGGGGGAAGGGCTTCTAGTGTCCTGGCCCCACTGGTGGACCTCCTGATGGCACCTGGTATTTTTGGCCACTGTGTGACAGAGTGTTGGACTGGATGGGCCATTGGCCTGTTCCAACACTGGCTTTTCTTATGTTCTAATGGGATTCAGAGGAGGTTTACTGTCTCTGAATGTAGAGGTTCCCTTTAGTCACCAGATTCTATTTGAACACCATGACTCTATGAATCTATTTGATCCCCTTTTAAAGCTGTCTATGCCTGTGGCTGTCACTACATCCTCGCTATGTAAATATGGTAGGTATTTCCTTTTGTCCGTCCTGAATCTTCTGCCCATCAGTTTCTTTGGATGCCCTCGAGTTCTAGTATTTTGGGAGAGGGAGAAAAAGTTCTCTTTGTCAACTCTCTCCAAGTTGTACAGCTAAGCACTGTCATTCCTCCCCCAGCGTCCTGTTAAAATCTAGCCTTAGTCAATGCCAGTGAGCAGAGGTGAAGCACAACGGTTAGGCCGGCGAGCTAAGGAGTTCCTGGTTCAAATTCTGCCTCAGAAACCACCTACCATCACTTTAGACAAGCAGTTTCTTGCTCAGGTTCAGTCCCCCTTCCCACACAACTGTCGCGCCCTTTCTGTGAAACCCCCTCATTGGGCATCAGGGACAACTTGTTTAGCCTCTAGAGTGAGAAAATAATGCCTCAATGCCAACAAAGCCCAGTTAAAAATTCCCAATGTGGTCGCCGACAGCACCGTGGCTCCCAAAATGAGTGGGGCCAGGTAGGGCTTTTGTCCAGCAAGGCCACCACAGTGGGAGGATCTAGAGTGTGTTATTGAAGTTGTGGCAATCATTTTGTGACTGGCTCCACCTACTGTGGCGGCCATTTTGTTGCTGCACCCACCATGCCATGTCAGAATTCCAGATGTGGCCCCAGGCTCAAAAAGGTTGGGGATCCCTTTACTAGTCTAAGGGTTATTAGCATTTAATTAATTAATTAATTATTCAACTTATACCCTGCCCTCCCCGCTACGCAAGCTCAGGGCGGCTTACATTCGTTAAAACATAGTACATAGTATATAAATAACAATTAAAATCTGTTAACATCATCATAAAGCATGAACGGCTTCAAAAGGGAATTAGATAAGCATATGGAGCAGAGGTCCATCAGTGGCTATTAGCCACAAGGTATAGATAGGGGCTCTGGGGCAAGTGATGATCTGTCTTCCAGGTGCTTGGGGGGTGGTCAACAGTGGGAGGGCTTCTAATGTCCTGGCCCCACTGGTGGACCTCCTGATGGCACCTGGTATTTCTGGCCACCGTGTGACACAGAGTGTTGGACTGGATGGGCCTTTGGCCTGATCCAACATTGGCGTCTCTTATGTTCCTAAAACAATTCAAATCAAAATAATACTACTAAGTGCTGTTGATTTCTGAGCTACGTAAACTGCCTGGAAGGGTGAAAAGTCAGGGTATAAAATCTGCCGAGCACGTGCCAAGTGGTATGAGTAAGCTTTTCTCATTTTCATTCCTCCAGTCCCCAGTGAGCCCTCATGCAATGGCCAATCCACCTTCCTCGTGGCTGTTTCCTGCCTCTCCAGCCCCATGGCCAAGATGGCAGAGCTGGAGGGAGCGCACATGTCCCGTTAGCGCTTTCTAGCGGGGTCAATTACCTGTCAGAGAAACCGGCCTGGATTCGGTTACAGGGTTCGCAACCCGCAGGTCTTACAATCACTGACCACGCGGATCAGAACCCAACAGGTCTGTAAAGACCCTTGCAAATGCGCAGGCCAGGGCACTGCCCGAACCCCCCGACAGACGCAACTTCCTCCCGCGACCCCATCCGGTCGCTTCGTAGAAAACGTCCCCTGTATGAATGTCTGCACCTCCTCTACAGGCGCGGGGCCCGGCCAAAGGACGCAATGCAAGAGCCGTGCCCCCAAGTTTCCCCGAATGTGTCTCCGCAGCCCTCGCTCTTCCTCCCCAGCCCTTCCTGGAGCCCCGCCTGTTCCTTCTTCCCACGGTCCTCCTTCACTCGGCCCCTTCCTCCCCGAATCCACGTCCCGCCTCCCCCCAGGTCTGCCGCCTCCCCCCCTTGACCAGGCCGACCTCAGCCTGCTTTGCCAAGCCGACCTCTCGCTTCTTCTTCTTCTCACCCTCTCGCAGCCTCCGGCTTCTCACTCGGCCTCTTTCCTGTGTCGCTCTCCGACGCTGGCGCAGCAAGCCGGCTTTTTTGTGCTGTCTCTGATCCGGCCGCTAGAGGGAGCCCGCGCGCAACAGAAGCGCGGCAGGAGGCGGAGGCAGAAGCGCCGTGGCCGCAGAGCCGGCCCCTCCCCTCCCCTCCCGAGCGGAGTCCAAGATCCCGCCCCTTCACTAAAAATAACATCGATCTTCCATTTTTGGCCGGCAATCACAGGGCTTTCATCCAAATTTTCTTCTTCTTCTTCTTCTTCTTCCCCTGTTTCTTCTCTTTCTTCAGTGGCTCATTGTTCTCATTCTCAGACGCGCCTGTTTGCAAGGCGGGGGGTGGTGGGGAATAATCATGACCCCGGCCTACCTTACATGGGTGTTGTGCGTATTATAAGGACGGGCGTGCCCCTCCTCTACCCTCAAACTGGGCCAGTTTATTCCAGCAGTGAAAAGCATAATTTCACTCGTCCTCCTCCCCATCCCGCAAGCAGCCCAGATCGCACAGGGGCTGATATTCCCCCTTTTAAAGAAACACGCTGGGAAGATCATCGGATTTCCTTGCGTGACGCCGAGTTCCCGAAAAATTCGTAAAGGTGCAGAGGGGTGCCAGCTTCCGAGTTCCGCAGAACGCTCCTTAGAGCAGACACACACACACACACCCTGGGCTGATGCTCACCCGGTGCTGCTGAGTTGGAGGGGGGCGCTTTGCAGAGAAATGTTTCAAAGACAGCCAAGAGGGTCTAGAGCCCAACCCCGCCTGGAACCCCCCCCCGGTCCCTGCCCCGCCAGCCAGCTCCCCTTCCCCAGCCCCTTGGGCTCCTCCCCAGTTCCTCAAACACGCCCCCCCATCCTGCCCCGCTTTCTTCCCACCCATTTCCTTCCCCCTGTCCCGTGCCTGGAATTTGCTTCCCCTCCCTCCCATCCTGCATCCCAGCCGAGAAGAATCCCCTTTCCGCGCTCTAAGTGGCTGTGGAAAGGGGTCCCAGCCCCCAGATCCACGCTCCCTCCCCAGACCTTCCCGCCCCAAGGCCAAGGTGAGAGGCGCAGGCCAGCGAAGTCGGTGGTGGTGCTGGTGTGGTGGGGATGAGGGAGGGGAGAGGAGGGGTAGATGCGCAGAACCAGGATTGGGATACTGGGCAGAGAAAGAAACAGGAGACAACTAGAGATGGGGAGGGGGATTTTGATGGATTGCCCTATGGAATTTTTCGGGGCGCCGTGGATTTTCCAGGCCCCAGGTGTGCATGGTCGGCAACTTTCCGAGGTGAATGCGCTTTGTTAAAAGCCAGACAAAAGAAACAGATCTCTGGCTTCATGTAGCAAAGATATGCAGCCCCTTCAGAACAACTGAGAAATGGAAATCTTTTTTAAAAAATTGTGTTTCTCTAAATCCAGAAGTGAGACCGGTGTGTGTGTGTGTGTGTGTAGATGGAATCTGGATTATATTTTATTTCTCCCCAGGGGGGTTAGCTGCTAGGGGCGGGAGCTCTCTTGGCCCCCAGATCTGGAATGGGTGGTTGGATGTCAAGAATGGTGGTGGTGGGTTCCTGGCAGGAAAGGCTGAAAATGCAGTGTGTGGAATGTGGGGGGAACTGCGTAAAACTTGGCGATTCCCTTTTCTACGGTCACAAGGGGCTTTCCAAAAGTAGGGGGAGAGGCGGCCTCTGTTCTGTGTCCCCTCCCCACATATGGTGGAAATCAGGGTACCCCCAAGACTAATATCCCTCGGCCCAATACAGACAAGTAATTCCCCACCGTCCCATCCAGTCTCATGAGTCATGGAAGAAAAATGTCTCTTTTCTTTCTGAAGTGACTTTTAATTAGACCACGGCATGGTAATGGGTCGCAGTCTGTGCTTCCCCTCTCCCAAATGAAACATGTTAGGAGAGTGCGGGATCTTGCCTATATATGGAACCAGTGTGGTGTGGAGAGCTGGAGTTTGAATGAGAAGACTTGGGCTCAGCCAACAAGTTCACCGTGGGTTGGTGATTCTCTCTCAGAAAAGCCTGCCTCACAGGGGTGGTGTGATGATAAAATGGAGGAAGGGCCATAGATAGAGTCTCGGACAGTTTGATCCTGCCAGGGTATTCCTTGGAATCCATCCTTCAATCTCTTGAATTCACAGCCCTGCCCCAATACCCAGTCCTTGGATGCTATAAGCACCGTGTTGGGAGGGAGGGAGGGAGGGGGGCATTCCTCCCCATCCCTTTGCTCTAATTTGGGTGACAATTTCAGCAGTCATGATCAGTGTTCCCTCTAAGCTGAGTTAGTGTGAGCCAGCTCACAGTTTTTTAGCCCCTGGCTCACACATATTTGTCTTGGCTCAGGAAGGATGTCTCCAGAGCAAACTAATTTATGCAGTAGCCAAATTACTCGCTCACAACTTTAATGCCCGTAGCTCACAAAGTAGAACTTTTGCTCACAAGACTCCACAGTTTAGAGGGAACATTGGTCATGATGACATAGTTATTATGAGCAGCGTTCCCTCTAAGCTGAGTTAGTGCGAGCTAGCTCACAGTTTTTTAGCCTCTAGTTCACACATTTTTGTCTTAGCTCAGGAAGGCTGGCTCCAGAGCAAACTAATTTATGCAGTAGCCAAATTTACTCACTCACAACTTTAATGCCAGGAGCTCACAAAGTAGAATTTTTGCTCACAAGACTCCACAGCTTAGAGAGAGCATTGATTATGAGGTCTTCAGATGTCCTGCTTTTTGTGCTGAACTGTGACTATACCTAGAGTAGGCCTATAAGCCTTGCTGGGAGTCCTTTCTGTCTACTGAAACTGGAAATAGCAGCCGTAACTCTCTCTCTGTTTTGCCCCCTCCCCCCCAAAGGCTAAGCCAAGTTATTTTACCTCAGTTTGCATTTTTTCAGGGTTGAAAGGCAGCCCAGGAAAAAGGGGTTTCCGGATTGGAGTCATATTACAAGGAAAGGGTTTTTTAACCCTTTCCCCTTTCCCCTCTGCTGTTTCTTAATAAAAATACCCTCTCCCCCACGTCTGAGAGCAGTGCAGAGTTTGACTTTTTCATGTTGGAGGTAGCACTAAAGAACATTAAGTGGGAATCTCTTGGGTTTGAGGAGGCCTCTTCCTGTAAACTTGACATAGTTTAGGAGCTCAGATTGTCCTAATCTGGCCCTTACCCCAAGGGATTTCTTTTCCCACAGCCAGCATCATGTTTAAATCAGAAGAGGCATTAAGAACATAAAGAGAGCCCTGCTGGATCAGACCACTAGTCCATTTAGTCCAGCATCCTGTCTCACACGGTGGCCAACCAGTTTCTCTGGGGGGCCAACAACAGGGCACAGAGAACATAAGAACATAAGAGATGCCAAAGTTGGATCAGGCCAAAGGCCCATCCAGTCCAACACTCT